AAACCATTTCAGGTGACTACCTCTTGAAGCTCATGGAGAGAATGCCAAGAGTGTGCAAAGCAGTAATCAGAGCAAAGGGTGGCTATTTTGAAGAAACTAGAATATAAAACATGTTTTCAGTTATTTCACCTTTTTTTGTTAAGTACATAACTCCACATGTGTTCATTCATAGTTTTGATGCCTTCAGTGAGAATCTACAATGTAAATAGTCATGAAAATAAAGAAAACGCATTGAATGAGAAGGTGTGTCCAAACTTTTGGCCTGTACTGTATGTATGTGAAAACTGACACTTTCAGGACAGTAGTTAGCCAGTTAGCAAATTAACAACACTACCTGATGCTGAAAGAAGAAAGAATATTCACTGTGCGCTAGTTAACAACAACACAAACTGTTATGAACTGTTTCTGCTTAAGAGCTCAATAACTAAAGACAAAAAAAATCTTACCTAATCTTACAAGTTTGTTTGGGTCTCACTCCCTTTGACTTTAGCTATTTGTTTACTTTCCACACTTCCATTTCTCTTGTCGTGCGCTGAGCTGAACTGCCAGTTAGAGTGGTTTCATTCATTGATGGGCTCCGCCATCTCTGATGCCCATTCATTTTGCTCAATCGGCCAAAAAACAGCTGATAAGGGCCAACTAGAGCCGACAATGCCAGACCCACTACAAAGTCTAGGGAAACAGACGCTGACACTGACAGATGTGTCAGGGCCCTACACTGCACACACTTACACGGTTCCTTTGTCATTAGCAGGTAGTTAGCATGTGTTCAGCTACTGTTTGCTGCGTGAAAACTGACCTGGTGAAGTCAGTCTTCAAGGCACCAGTACCAGCATACTGCTTGGCACACGCATCAGCATTGTCTGCCCAGGCTGAAAGTGAATAGACAGCAAAGAGGACAGAACACAATACCCAAAAAGAAATAGAGGAAACAGATCATATTAATATCTTTAACCTTAAAAGAGTGATTAAAAAACTACTGAGGTCACTGGAGTGTGAGGGTGAGCCCACCATTCTGGTACATCTTCTTAAAGTCTGCCTGCTCTTCAATCTGCTGGCCCATGTGGAGGACTCCCATTCTCTGCAGGTACAAACACATTTGAGTTAAGAGGCAAATCAAAAACTACCTTCTGACTCCTCTGTTAAAGTCTATGCTTTACATAAATAACATTTATTTATGTTACACAAATAATACCGATACAAATTTATCTCCATAGGTTTCAATGCTGTGTCTTAATAATCACAAACTGCATAATTAAAAAATTGCATGTAAATTAGGGATGCACCGAATATTCGGTAACCGAATATATTTGGTCGAATATTGCAAAAAAAAAACACACATTCAGTATTCGGTGGAATAAGTGAAAAGCAAGGCAGAATAATAGCGCCGTGTTTTGATAACGCAATCACAGCAGACACAACAGCGTGCGGTGACGGACAGAGTAAAATGTCGGCAGTGTGGCGATATTTTACTCCGTCCGTCACTGCACTCGCATTTGCGACTAAAAATAGTTTTGTTCGAGCAAAATAAATCATTCAGCACGTTGTGTGAGTACAGATTTCAACCAGCAGCAGAAACGAAAGGCGAATCCCGCCAGTTGTGGGTTGAACCAGGGTGACAGACAGACTGTTCTTTACTTATGAAGGGACTGTTCTTTACTTGTCAGAGGAGGATGGTGGCTGGTTGATTTTTATTTTATTTTGATCCCTGCTATGTTAATCACTTATTGATGCTGTTTTTGAAGTATGAATAAGTCAATAAGTAATTTATTCCATTGAAATATCACTGATGTATTATAGAGAAGTGATTTATCTTTTCATAAATGACAAAAGGCACATCTGCCTCATTTTCGCTGTGGTATCGTGATACTACTCAGAACCATGATATTTTCTGTACATACTGTATTTTTGGTAGATTGGAGCGAATGAGTGATGAGGATTTCAAGAAAGCAGACGAGTTCATCAAGCTCATGCGAATCCTCTACACCAGCACCCTGGCTGTATCAAGCGAGAAGACACCAACGTGTGGGCAAATACTTCCAATCCTAAAGAAGTTGGAGACTCACTTCACAGCAGCTGATGACGACTCTGTCTTCACTGCCTCCATAAAGGCCAAGATATGGAGTGACCTGTCCAGCCGCTATCAGGTATTAATTATGCATCTACACTACAGTAACCTTAGTAACAACCTGTTAGGTGGTGTAAGGGAGATACGATTCATATTGATTGATTCATTCATTCATTGGTCTCAAATTATTCAGGCCCCTTTTTTCAATTTGCTGTCTTATAGTTTAAGTTTAAGTTTATTTCATTTATATAGCACCTGCAAACAGCATTTGGACCAAAGTGCTTCGCAGGCAAACATGTCATATACACATATATGCATAAAGACATGTAAAATACATGTACATATAGTCTTAAAATACATCAAATTAAATACAATTTGCCATCTTGTAAATGGGTCTGAAATTGAATTCTTTACAAAGCCACTGTATATCTGTCTCATGCTGTGTGTTGTAGGATGGTGAGATATCAGCATTTCTGGAGGAGGCAACTATAATGGACCCTAGATTCAGGGCTAAACTGGACAACAATGCTGCCTGGGACCAGGTGAAAGATGCTGCAGTGAAGATGGCAGGTCCAGAAGAGTCAGAGCACCAGGTAAACACATTGGCCATCTACAAATGTAACAAGCTATGAAACTGTTGTCAGCCTAAACTGTGAATTGCTGGATGCCTGTAATGATGCATCATTGGTATTTTTCAGCTGCCAATCGGGCAGGACAGTGAAGATGGTGAGCGTGAGACCATCCAGTGCCAGGAGTACATCAGCGTGTCTGATCAGGAGGAAGAGGAAAATGTGGAGGTAAGGACATTGTGAATATTTTCATTTTCTTGGGAATAGTGTCTTACTCTGGTCATCCTTAAATGATCACTAACAGGATTTATTGTCGATTTCAGACTCAGAGTCATCCTCCCAAGAAAATGAAAATAACACCCTTAGAGGAGCTCTTTGAGGAGGAAGAGAAAGAAGCACAAACAGCAGCTGAGAACATATGCTCCCTTTCCTGCCATGAGAAAGCTGAGCAAGAAATAAAACTGTACAGGAACCTGCCCCCTGTGTCCATGAGCACAGACCCTGCTAGGTGGTGGTGGGAGAAGAGGTCCACTCTCCCCATCCTGTCAGATTTGTCTGCCACATATATGTGTGTGCAAGCATCATCAACCCCATCAGAGAGAGTGTTCTCAGTAGCTGGAGACACTATTCGC